TTGTTATTGTCGAGTTCTCACTTAATTGCTATTGCCGAATACAGACGTAACTATTGTTTTGCTCGTTGTTTTTTTCATGTTGAAATTTAATTAGGAATTGCTATCATTTTCCTTTTATATCCCATTATTGGATACAGTTTAATGTAAAATATTTTCGAATTAATTTGACAATAAAAAGAATTACATTGGTAATCCCGAACTTTTCCGTACCGTTGGCCTGCGTTGTCCGTAGGTACTTTTGGTTATTTTTTGTGAATTTTCTTGAAATAAAGGCAGTGAAAATATAATAATGAAAATCAGCAGTAGCTGTCTCATATGCTTTAACAATGTTTGACGTTTAGAACTGCTGTTGAAACTTTGTTGGGAGCGCCGCCAACCACAAATCTCTGTAACTATACGTTTGTGTGAATGCAAAGAGTCTATGTGTGCGTTGTACACAGAGATGTTGATTCGTGCAAACGTCGCATCCAATGTCGCATCATGTTAGGCGGCGCTATTGATATACTTTGCTTCAATCGTCAACAAAATACATGAAGTATTTCTCCGTTTTGATGAAAATAAAGTGAAAAATCGACAATTCTGTATGAGAGGTACCCGTAAACCGTACCTCATTGGCTTTAAACTTTCTGAGGTTTCATTTTTTGGAGAAAAAATAAGATTCTGAAAGTTTCATGTTGATCGCATTTGCAGAAGTTTGGTTTTTGGCCCTCAATGTTTTCCAAGAAAATTTCAACAAAAATTTTATATAGGAGGTACCCGTGAATCGATTCCGATTGGTTTCAAACTTTCAGAATCTTATTTTTTTCCCAAAAAATGAAATCCCAGAAAGTTTGAAGCCAATCAGAGTCGATTTACAGGTACCTCCCATACAAAAGTGTCAATTTTTTGAGGTTTTTCTTAGGGCAAGTACCCCAGGGTCAAATCGAAAATGGCTCATCTTCGAACTTAAACTAAGTTTATTGGATACAAAACTTTTGGGACTTTCAGATTTGGATTATCTCAATTATTTTTTGAGTTATCGTGTTTACAAACAGCTACGACAACGACGACAACGACAACGACGGCACACGAACGGAAAAGTGTCTCAAAAAGTGGTTTTCTACGCGTTTCATGAGTTTTTATGATGATCTAAGCTAATTTTGCGAAAAAAGTTTTCGGGACCAATTCCTATACTTTCCCTTGACACGTTGTGTACGGAAAAGTAATATATTTGTATGAAAGCTATTTTCTAATTGAAAAACTGTTTGTTCTTTCTTCAAGCGCCAGTGTGATTCAAAAATGTGTGGTATCGATAGTAATTAAAATAATTCATCAAGAATGCAGCCGTCTCGACGTATAAAAACATCAACTTTACCAGGTTGGTATGTAAAATATTACTTTTCCGCAAACTTTGTTTGTATGGAAAAGTATTGGTTTTACTAGCCAAAATTTCATGACTTCTCCTCTTTCGGACCACTATAACGTCACGCCAAACTTGAAAAAGCACATATCTGTACACTAGGCAATGTAGATGGGATCAAATCCTATCGATCAAGACCTATCTGCCTCCAAAAACATGTTGTTTACTATGAGAAATGTGTAAAATAGCGATGTGCGTATGGCGTCGTCCGCGTTCGCGTTCGCGTTTTTTGTTCGCCGATTATCTCAAAAAGTTGACAAGATAATTGAGATCTGTAAAAGCCAAAAGTTTTGGCATGTCGAGACAAAGCTTCGGATTGATTTTGAGCTATATCCGATGTGACCTTGGGGTACCTCTCCTGAGAAAAACCCTCAAAAATTGTACATTTGTACGGGAAGTACCCGAAAAAGCATTTTTCAGGGTTTCGATCAAGGCAAACTGCCATTTTTTTGCAAAAATAATGGGAGTCTAAGAACAACCGAACACCTACTTGCCCATAAATTTGGTCCAAAATCGACATTTCTTGAAAATTTTCTCGAAAAATAGACTTTTGTATGACAATTCACACAGAAAGACATTTTTTAGGGTTTTGGTCAAGGCAAACTGATGTTTTTTTGCAAAAATAATGGGAGCCTTCAAACAACCGAACACCTACTTGCCCATAAATTTGGTCCAAAATCGACATTTCTTGAAATTTTCCTCGAAAAATAGACTTTTGTATGACAATTCACACAGAAAGACATTTTTTAGGGTTTTGGTCAGGGCAAACTGATGTTTTTTTGCAAAAATAATGGGAGCGTCAAACAACCGAACACCTACTTGCCCATAAATTTGGTCCAAAATCGACATTTCTTGAAATTTTCCTCGAAAAAAAGACTTTTGTATAAAAAAATCACTCAGAAAGCCATTTTTTAGGGTTTTGGTCAAAGCAAACTGATATTTTTTTGCAAAAATAATGGGAGCGTCAAACAACCGAACACCTTCTTGCCCATCAATTTGGTCCGAAATCAACTTTTCTTGAAATTTTTGAAATTTTGTTCGAAAATGACACTTTTGTATGGAAAATGGTCGAAATAGTATTATTTTAAGGTCAAAAATGCTATGAAAAAAGGGTCCATTGAAATTTTGGTTAAACATAAAGCGGGAGGTAAACTAAATTGCTGCGGAGCGGAAAAGTTCGGGATTACCAATGTAATTCGTTTTATTTTCGAATTAATTTGCCAATATATTTGTATGAAAGCTATTTTCTAATTGAAAAACTGTGTGTGTTTTTTAAGTGCCAATTTGATCTAAAAATGTGTGGAATTCACAGTAATTAAATTAGTTTGGCAGGAATACAGCGACCTCGATGTATAAAAGAGCTCAACTTCAGCAAGATGGTTATCAGTAATTTTATTGGTATCAACTAAAATGAAAGTGTTGTGCTTCCTTGTTTTGGCATTGGCTTTGGTAATTAAAAGTTGAAATTTTGGCCGATTCCAAAGCGTTAAATAAAATTGAATTTTCAGATTGCATTTGCATCCTCTGAGCCATGTAGACGACGAAACCGAATGAATAACGATCGATCATCGGGAGGCAGAAATAAGAGAAGCGCACAATCACCTATTGACGGATTGGTTAAGGATTTATCTGGAATCGTTAATGGACTCGTTGGTGGATTACTTGGAGGTTTGTTTTTGATTCAATTTTCACTAACATTAAGCCCATTTCATTTTTATTTGATCAATGAATAATTTATTCATTTTTATTTTAATTTTTATTTTTTTTCAGGTGGTGGACCACCAAAACCAGAACCACCAAAACAACCAGAACCACCAAAACAACCAGAACCAGCAAAAAAACCAGAACCAGCAAAAAAACCACAACCGCCTCAATCTGGAAATTCTGAAGCAGATGCACAAGCTGAAGCTCAGGCCTCCGCCAATAGCAACTGATACAGCCATCCCACATTTAACTGCACGCAGGTTAACCAAGAAGATGACATCTTAGTACAAAATAAATTTCAAGTACTAATGATGCCACTCACGAACTAGCGTAATTCATGCATTTGCCGCAATTTTTTTTGTCAAAACATGTCGTCATCTTGAGTTTAACTTGATCCTTGTATCCAAATGCTTGATTGTTTGAAATACCAAATAAAGATTCAAGTACAACAAAAATGAGTTTTCGTATTGAATTCACATCTAAATATAATTATATATTGATTTTGTGCTTTGTTGTAGCCATCCACGAGTTGGCGAGTTAATATTCTTATCTTTGAAGTCAATTTTAAATTATTTACCATTTAGCATCAAATGATCTAGTTACGTTTCAGATCATGGTCCATGTCAACTCAATGCAATCTGCAATCAACATGGATCTGTCTTAACCGACGTAAGACTTCTCATCAATTTATCTATCCGATAAAATGAGTGACGACTTTTGCATTCTCAAAGTTTTAAATTTAACGCGTAACAGTTATCGCTTCACATAGCCTTTGTCCCTTTGGAAACGTTTACCAAAGGTTATCCTGGACCGTTTACTACCCAGTGCGCAAAACGTAACGAAACTTTGTATGAAGCGCGTGCACACGCTTGTAACGATAATTTTATATGAAGCGCGTGCATAATTCTTATGCACATTTGTACCCAAATTCGTGTGCACAGTTGTGCTTCGAAATGTGCATCTATTTGTATAAAAAATAAACATATTTTGTATGTGCATAATTATGCACAAAAACTTTGTATGTATTTAAATGTATGTACACAATAGATAGACACAATTGTGCACACAAATCAAATGTACTACAAATCTATTTTGGGCCTAAATGTGTACAAACTATTCCATAAAATAGACACGCATTGCGCACTGGGTATAGACTACTATAAGTATTTCCATCTTGGTTGTATGACTGCTTTCGTTTTCATGTTCCTACTATTGTGATTACCTCATAATTTACGAAAAGAGTCAGGTTTTTAACGAGGCGAGAACTGAAAGCTATCGAAAGTTACTGCTACTATTGTTCATTATTTATAAAAATTGTGACAGTCTTGCACTCTTTTCCGGCAAAACCTCTAACAAAACCCACATTATATTCAGCCAGAGCTTGGCGGTGTTTAATAAAAAATTTTTTTTTTTAAATATATAAAAGTAGCTTTCATCAGAAGAAGCACCATACTTTTGCTCAATAAATACATTCCGAATCAATTGGCATTTGAAGTTCTGGTTATCGCCTATCGATCATGTGAAATAGAAACAGCGCTTTGCTCGTACACATGTTTCATATTGTATCATTCAATAATAACTGCATATCATATAAAAAAGTTTCGTCATTAGTTCCAAATATTTCATTTTGAACATCGCAGCAAGTGTAATTGAAATAAGAATGTCTTATATTTGGATAATGAGTGTGTCATTTGTTCGTTGTAATTAATGAAGCATAAATGGAATTTCAAATGGCTTCTTCATTTCAAGTCAGCTTGATTAGTCAACGCCATTGTTTACAACTTGGATGAAAAATATTTTGATAAACTGGAGAATTTGGAAAGAGAAATGTTCTGAATATAAACCGTATGTAACCGTAGCAAAATACAATGTAAAATCACGAAGTTATATCTGAGCCAAAAGTGTCGCAGAATATGTGAATAAAACCGTAAAATGTAAATTAAGATTGCTACGATTTGCGATTGCATCATCAACGGATAAAGAAACAAAACATTCGTTCAACGTCTTTCATTGCGATCGAAATGTTCGAATTCGCTGGAACCCACTATGCTCCATTTATGTATAATGGCCCTCCAATTGTAATAAAATAAATGAGTCATACAAGAAAGAACAAATTATTTTTTGCATTTGCTGTAATGAGATCATTGTGAAACATTTCAATTTTTATCAGTTGTATTGAGTTTTTTTTTCTGTTCTTCTGCTGACTTCAATGAATAATGATCAAGTTATCAACAAGACATATAGCTGTCAGAATTTCAGACTAGCATCACATTTGTTATGAGAAAATGATTGCCCGTCAAAATGGTCGATGAATCATGATTTACTATCAGTCGCGCCCTAAGATTATGAATGTTATCACATTATTATCTTCCAATAGGATACACAGTTGATGACAACAATAGGTAACTATGAACACTTTTTCTTGACCAACAACAAGATATTTGACAAATGAAATTGGAATTTGCATTAAACTTCTTAAACTTTCTTTAGTTTCCTATTATTGGTTGATGATTATGTTATGAAGTTTCAGTTCTAACTATAACCATGAAAAAAAAATAAGCAGAGATAGGGCATTTTGGTAAAAAATCAATTTCCTACTGCTCTAATTGAAAAGCAGCTGAATTCCAGTCGACTGGAGACTGTCGTTTCAAAAATATTTGTTACATGTTGTATAATTGAATACTCAAATTGTTGTTAAAATGTGATAGGCGCTGTCCAATTTAGATTCCGTAAGCATGTCTGTGAGTGTCAACAAAAAATATATCATCCAATAGAAACAAATCCCCTAGATGCTAGAACACAATACTCTGACTCGTTTGGTGAACAACTTCATCTTCCTATCATTCCCTCTCTCTCTCTCTCTCTCTCTCTCTCTCTCTCTCTCTCTCTCTCCTTTTGACCTATTGAACCATGGTGATAGCAATATCTGAAAATAGCTTCAACGAATGAATGTTCTCTGCATATAAATAAATCGCGATGCCAAACGCATTTCAAATCAATCAGAACATTGTCACAATGAAGTTCATTTGTGTTTTAATCTGCATTGGCACTCTTTGCCATAAAATCACTGCCGAAGCGATCAATTCGGCAACAGCAATTCAAATAGTGTCGCCAGTAAATCATACGTTCAATTTGGAATTGAACGAATTTCGAAAAATTGTTGAAGATGAGAATATGAAGAATCGTCAGGTTGTGGTTGTTTCAATCGCCGGCGCATTTCGTCAAGGAAAGAGCTTTCTGTTGAATTTCTTCCTTAAGTATTTGTATGCTCAGGTAACGACTTCTATTTTAGAATGACTTTATTTGCAGAAAAATTTAAATTTTTGATTAATTTGTTGCATACAACAATAAAATACTTCGTAAAGTCTGCTTAGACATTCCAATCACTTTTCAATTAACTCAATTCTATTTCTCATCAAACAGTACAAAACCCACGATGTCTCCGATTGGCTTGGAGAGCAAAGCAGAGGGAATATGCGCGGATTCAAGTGGCGTGCAGGACGAAAGCGTGAAACGACTGGCATTTGGATGTGGTCAGAGATTTTCACTCATGATTCCGAAAATGGTGAAAAAATCGCGATCATTTTGCTCGACACTCAGGGCATATTCGACGATAAAAGCACTATACGTGATTGTACTACTATTTTTGCGTTGAGTATGATGCTGTCGTCGGTTCAGTGCTACAATGTAATGCAAAATATCAAAGAAGACGACCTGCAGCACTTGGAATTATTCACCGAATATGGACGATTGGCTCTGGAGCAATCGAACATTAAACCATTTCAAAAGCTCTTGTTCATTGTCAGAGACTGGCCGTATGCATTCGAAACGAATTACGGTTGGCATGGGCAAAAAGTCATCGATGACATTTTGGCTGGAAATGATGAACAAACAAATGATATGAGACAACTCAGAAAACGAATCGATTCCAGTTTCGATGATATTAACGCATTTTTAATGCCTTTCCCTGGAACAATTGTAGCACAAAGCAACAACTTTACGGGAGATTTAAATCAAATCCATCCAGATTTTGTGAAATATGTAAAAGAATTGACGCCAGCACTGTTCGATCCGGGAAAAGTAACGATAAAGAAAATTAATGGCCAAAATGTACGAGTGCGAGACTTGGTGCCGTATTTGGAAGCGTATATCAAGATCTTCAATAGCGACAAATTACCCGAACCAAGAAGTGTTTACAATGTATTTTATCAGTTTATTATTTGTCTTATTTTTCTGTATTATTCCTGAAAATTTGATTTTTTTTTCATTATCTTTTGTTTCGTGATTCCCTTTTTGAAGATGATTAATCAATAAACGACTCTGATTTTGGTAATCTAAACAGGCAACAGCGGAGGCGAGCAGTCTGATACTGCAGAATGACTGTGTCAATCTTTATGTCGACTCAATGCAAAAAGCGGTCACTGACATCGATCCATATTTTAGCGAAACAGAACTCATGAACGTTCATCAAAAATTCAAAAATCAAGCAATAGATCAGGTTTGATTGGATTTTTTTTTTATTACAAAGATCTATTTTTTTTTCAAAATTTTCAATTAAGATTCAAATTGACTATGCTTTGTAATTGAAATTGTAATGTTTTTTTCTATGATATATCAATATTTGTCAACCGATTTTAATGTCAACATCTAATTTTACAGTTCCAAAAGAAGCCAAAACTTGGAGACGATCGTTTCCTATCATCAGTTCAACAAAAAATTGAAAGTGCCATTGAAGAGCATTTCCGTTCATTCAATCAAACGAATGAAGGGAAACGCAAACATTTCATTGTAAGTTATTAGGTTTTGAAATGAATTTAAGCAAAATTTAAGCAACTTTTTTGTATACTTAATCATTTTCATTTCTATTTTAGGAAAAGGCCAATTTGCATAATGTCAATCTAATCACCGGAATAAAAAATGGATTCGAAGAGAAAATACTGGCTGAAGTGGGCAAGACAAATTCCGATTTGAAGCAGTCGACGTTGAACGGTTTATATCTACAATCGAAACAGGCTGCTCTGCAACAGGTACTAAGCTGTTATGAAGAGTCACTTCATTGAATGCAGTTTGAAATAAACAATTTAATATTAAATCTATATAGTTCGAGACAATGAAAATGGGTGGTAGTGATATCTCAGGCGACGTACGTGTAAAACTCGAATACGAATTGGATGACTATCATTTGAAATTGATGAAAATGGCAGAGTTGTTCAGTGAATCTTTGAATATTTATACAAATTCGATGCGAGAATCGATCGGCAGAGTCAATCCATACTTCGATGAAAGCGGACTGATTAGAACTCATCAGGATGCAAAGCAAAGAGCAGTGGCTAAGGTACTGTTTAACTTTCAAGCAAACCCATAGTAACACAAATTTAATCATTCTTAATTTGACATAGTTTTCAGATAACGCAAAGTCAGCCAACAACGAATTGGCGTACAACTTTCAAACCCGAATCGATAAATATGCCGAAGAAATGTTCGCTCATTTTAGAAACGAAAATGAAGACAAACGGAAAAAGTTCGTTGTAATTAAACCTGGACCAGACACATTTTAGTCGATTGAAAAAATATTTAATCAACTCCCTATGTTGTGCATTGAGCAGCATATTTTGAAACCTACCTAAAACCTATTTCTGTATTTTCATTACAGGAAAAAGCCAATTCACACAACGAGAACTTGATCAGAGAAATTAAAGTGAATTTCGAGAATAAGATGCTTAAGGAAATCAGTAGATCATATTTGAATGATAATGCATTTTATAGTCAATTCATGACATCAAAGAATGCTGCTTTAGGAGAGGTTAGTTGAAGATATCTCTAATGTTACATTTATTTGTACGTATTTGCATTTTTGTTGATTCAATGTTTCATTTTCTCAAAGTTTGGCAATAGAAAAATTGGTGGCGGCGAAATTTCAAATGTTTTTCGTGAGAGACTTGAGCGGGATGTAGATAGCTTACAGGGCACGTTGAAACAAGCAAACGAAAGGAACAAACCAACAGAACGACCGGTGCAACACGAAGAACGGGGAGGTTTCTCAGATGTCGAAAAAATTATTGGTGGAATTGTAGCTATTGGAACTTTGGCGGGCCTTTTCGGTTAAATTTACATAATAACAATCTGAAATATGATCAATTCAACCATGAAGCTGTTATTCTTACGCTATTTTTATTCACTAATTGGAAAAAAAATAGAATTTCGAATAAAAATAAAAAGTTTGAATCGTTTTCTTTATTTATTGAAGAACTTGAGAGAAATGTTTTTTTTTAGCAAACAGTTTCCATAGTTTTCCGTTACAAATAAAATGACTAACAGTCACTCAGTTGTATGTAGTTGTATATACACACCTAAAACTGGCTAAGTTGATTGAAATCATGCGTTTTGTATGGAGACAATCACGTTTAGTTATTTTTTCAGTCATTCGACAAATTTGGGACATTTTGACTTAGGGTGATTTGTGATTAAAGTTAACTGCAGTTGCTTATTTTGTTCGAAACAGTCACTTCTAGTCAGTCAAATAGTCACTGAATGTCCCAAATTAATCGACTTTAAACTGAACGCTAAAAATTTTCCTCACGGGTTAAAATACAAAAATATTGATTATTCTGTTGTAGTTTAGATTAGCAACTGAACATTAGAATTCGGATTTTGAACTGAACGCTAGTGTTTTTATTGCACTTGAAGCAAACATCCAACGAAAATCCACAATTTTATCTGTCGCTTATAAAACGGTCAAAATAAATATTGTCAAGAAGTAAAATTTCGGGGCGCAAACGTCATCCCATTTAGTTTACTCATGTAGATAGCGTTTGAAGCCAATTTCCAGAGGAATATTTTTGAAATGTATTTGAACTATCACTGTCGAAAGTTCACTGATTAACAACAATGTATCGATTGTATTGAAAATCGAATAAAAAAAAAGGAATAGAGAATATGAACATAAAATGATGCATCTCAGTATTTACTTGATAAATGAAGACGGTTTTGGACGACTGCCGAGATGGTGTGTTGGAGATGGACAATTCACCCGGTTTCAAAGTGGCTTGAATCATGCTCTTGACTTGTTTACGAACAGGTGATTTATTCGTCAAGCACTCATCACATATGAACACAATGTTCCGTGAGACGAAGATATTTTTCACTGATTGCACAATATCATAACAAGGCAAATGGGATTTGCTGTGGCAACTGTAGCACTGAACTAAATGATTTGAACTCGCATTCCTTAATGGACAGTCATCAGGATTGCATTTACGTAGACTAGACATGATGTCAGTCGGTTTGGTTGATTTGGCGATTTATTGGTTATGTTATTTGTTTTGGATTGAGTTTATTCCAATTTAGTAGAGAAAAACTCAATTAATCCGTTGAACCACAGTATACTCGTTGAAATTATCGCTTAAATTAACACTAAAATCGAAATAATCACAAGAAAGTGAAAAAAAGCAATAAATAACAAGGAAAGTATTGTAACTTCTACGGAGCGGTAAAAAAAACGTTGTTGACAGTACGTCGCTTGACAGCTTGATCCTGATGATCAGGGCAACCAAAAATATTTACGAAAAAGTCCAAAATATTTATGTAAATATTTACGAAAAATCGTCGGAATATTTATGCAAAAGTCTAAAATATTTACGAAAATATTTAAAATATTTTTATTAAAAACCGTTAGATTTCATAATAAATAGTAACTTTTTGGTGTTTTTCAAGGAAAGTACGTTGACTAAAGACTAATCAAAGCTATTGCAATAAATTAAGACATGCATTTTTATATTTTCGAATGAAAACGAACGACGTTGATCTCCCAGAACTTGTTTATACTTCGAAAACGTTCTCTCTACATCACATGAGGTGATTGGTGCATATAAAAAACAACTAAGTTCTTCCGGTGACAGCATATCGATGAAATCGTCTTGACGTGTTGCTTTTCCCGTGCTCAAAATGTTAGCGATTTCCTTCATTCGTAAAAAACCGTTGTTGCGTGCAATAACTCTGTCAAACTTGTTCAAAAATTCAGTCCTACCACGCATTGACTGAAGGCTGGTGCGAACTGATTCAACAATATCGAGAGCTGTGGCAAGTGGCATTCCTTGTCCTTGTAGTTTCGTCACACCAGTAACAAGACATTAGAAATTCCCCTTTATGAAAGCCAGATCTTTCTTCAACGTTGACACACGAATTTCTAACTTGGCCTTTTTGATAGATTTCGCTTCTCCTGAATCAAGATCATTTAAGAAGGTTTTGATTTTTTCAAAATGTTCAGTATAGTACAATGCTGCTTCAATCCACGTGCCCCATCTCGTTACGATCGGCTGTGGTGGAAGCGCGGTTCCAGGGAACATCACTTGGAATTTGTGTTTGCGTGCTGGAGTCTACATGAGAGAGAGAGAGAGCGAGAGAAAAATGAATGTGCTGAATAAAGCATCTCTCATTCATATTTTGAGCTCACCTTCGTGAATATTTTTTTTCATATTCGAAATCAATTTATTCACATCGCTGAAACTATCTCGTACAAATTCACACACACGGTGAAGAGCATGCGCTGCACATGTGAAATGGACCATTTTTGTGTAAAGAATCTTTAATGCATTCATTGCGCAAGTCATGTATGGTGCACCATCCGTCAAACACAGAAGAACGCGATCTTTTTCCATTCCTGTGAATCAAATAAATGCCATGCGTGAGGAATCGTTTCAGACAGAAACAATATTCATGTCGTATATACCCAACTCACAAACGACTTCATCAAAAAAAATTTGCGATTGTGGCATTGTTGACTTTTTCTAGGACCTTCGATGCAAACAGATAGCACCGACCGCGTTATTCCTCAACACCCAATATTCCGAACACGAAATTCACAACATATCGTTGTTCACTGTCAGATTTTTTTTCATTTTTTCAACACATTCTTCATAAATTGTTGGTACGCACTTCGATCTCAAAGTACCTTCGGATGGTACCGCATATTTTGTGTGTTTTTGAAGAAAATTAACCATAGCGGGCTCACGCAACTTATACTGTGGTATATTTGATTTAACAAAGCAGCTAGCCAAATCCATATTGAAAACATTCGTATCACGCAATTTTTCGGCGGACTGATCGATCGTTGTGAGCAGTGATTGTGTTTTGCCACCAGACTTTCCACTTTTTCGATTCACACTGGCCAAATGTTTGCCTGTTATTAAATGTTGTTTCACTTGTGATACTTGTTTTGCAGCCACTTCAATATCACACATTTTACAGAACAGTACTGAGCCATCGGTTTCAATTGGATGCTCTTTAACAACTCTGGCAAACAATGTTCGCAAATTTTCTTTCGGCATTTTAGAACTGTTTCAAATGCAGCGTGCGAAAAATTCAGATTTGATTGCCAATATGAAGTGTTATGTTACATTCCCAACAAACCGTTTGCACTAAAACAATACCGTGCTATTTGTTTACATTTGGATTATTTCTTTTCTCACTTTCTTTCGTGTTCTATAAAAGCATTGTGCGAACCGGCACGAGCACTGTTGTCGTGCCATACAACTCGTACACATAGTTCTGTGTGATGTAGTGGTAAGCAAAGAATACTAGGTTTAAAAATCGATTGCTAAACTGAAATTTTGTACACGAAAAACATTGATAAACGACGCAAGTTTGCGATACATTTTATTCAAAGGCATAAATAGTGAAATTATTGACACGAAAAGTCTGAAATAT